CCCATCCCCCCTGCCCCCCCCAGCCCCACTCACTCCCTGCCCTGCCAGCACCCCTAGCCCCGCTCCCCTCCTGCCCTGCCTGCGCCCCCAGCCCCCCTCCCTCCCTGCCCTGCCTGCGCCTCCCCCGCCGCTCACCCGGTCCACCAGCGTGGAGCGGGGCAGGCCTCGCCCCTCTAGGCTGGATGGGTGCAGCCAGAGCTCGTGGTCGTGCATGACGGCGCGCGCTGCCACGGGGCCGTAGTACGGCAGTACATCCACGCCGGCGCCCAGCCAGAAGGCAAACTCGCCTGCGGGCAGGCGGGGGGAGGCGGCACGCGCGCTTGGGGGGATGAGAGAGGGGCAGGCGGGCGGGGCAGCATGGTGCGGCGCGTGGGAGCTCGCAGCGGGCGCGGCGGGAGGTGCGCAGGCGCTGGATGCATGCTGTCCTCAAGGCAGGCGGGCGGGCAGGCGGGCGGGCGGGCAGGCGGCCGGTCTCACCCTCCCAGAAGGGCAGGCTGGCTGCGGGCACCACCAGCAGCACGGGCCCGGTGCAGGCAAAGTCGGCACGCAGGCTCTGCAAAAAGGCGAGCACGCTGGCGCTCTTGCCCAGCCCCTGCTCGTCCGCCAGCACCGCGTTGTTGCCCTCGCTCCACTGGCGGCGCAGCCAGTTGACGGCCTGCGGCGGGCAGGCGGGCAGGCAGGCAGGCAGGGGGCGGGAGCGGGGTGGAGAGGCGGCGGGAGCGGGGCTGAGCGGCGCACTTGCAGGCCATGGGGCAGCATGCACGGCCCCATGCCTGCTGCCAGCGCCCCACCCCACACAGTCGCCCCGTAGCCTGCTGTCGCCGCAGCCGCAGCCGGCCCAGCCGCCCCCTTACCTCCAGCTGGTGCGGGTGCAGGCTGCTGCCGTGCACGTAGGGCGGCGTGGCGGCCACGGGAGGCATGCAGGTGCGCGCCGCGATGCGCGCCGCCTTGCCCGCCTCCACCGCCTCGGGCGCGGCGTGGGCCATGGCGGCGGCAAAGCGCTGCCACATGTCGCGGTGCAGGGCCTGGTGCTCGGGGGCCAGCATGAAGGGCTCAAACTCGCTCTGGGAGGGGAGAGGCAGGCGGGGCAGGCGTGGGGCAGGGGCGGGTGCAGTGGGGGTGCGAGGTGTGGGTCGAGAGCGGCAGCACAGCCCAGCCCAGCCCTGCACAGCACAGCATGCCCACGAGGCTGCCCGGCTCACAGGCAGCCAGCCTGCCTGCCATACCAGCCCGCCTCCCCGACCAATACCTTGCCAACAGCCTGCCTCCATGCCTGCCTGCCTGCCCCCACCCCCACCCCACCCCACCACCAGCCCGCCCGCTCACCTCCCAGGTGGCGTGCTCATAGCCCAGCCCCCCCCACTTGACCAGCACCTCCCAGCCGGGGCCGTGGGGCGAGGCGCGGCGCGCCACAAAGCGCTCGGGCTGCGCCCACCCCTCCTCCATGTGGCTGCAGGGCGCGCCGCCGTACCGCTTCTTGAACTTGAGCACCTGCCGGGCGGCGCGCGGGTGAGGGGCGACGGCAGGGGGTGAGGCAGGGCGGGAATGGACAGAGGGGGCAGGGGGCAGGGGGGCAGGCATGTCCAGGAGAGCGCACACAGCAGTGCCCCCTCC